CTGTTTAGAGATCAGTGTCCCTGGTTAGCAACCAGGGACACTGATCTCTCTGAAAGTGGCCGGAGCCAGCCGTAAGATCACGGCTGACTCCGCCCTGCTGTCAGAAGCAGGCTGTCGGCCGGCCAATGGCCAGCCGCTCGGCCAGCTTCGGCTTTCTGCACGGCTCAGCCGAGCCGATGCATATGCGATCGGCTCAACTGAGCCGCTCGGCCATGATCGGGAGCTGTATGGGCTATTGTGAATAGCCCGTACAGCACCCCCTCGGTTCTACTGAACCGTAGGGGTCCTGGGGCCAAGCTAGCCGAAGGATCGGCCGAAGCTACGGTCAGATCCCTCAGCAGCTTCGTGAATAGACCCCATAGAGTCTATCGAAGCCAATAATTCCTTGATAAATGGAATCTTACGGCAAACTCAAATTGTACTAAATGCCGACAGCCCCAAGGCAACCTGATTCACCTTTTGTGGAGATGCCGCCTGAAACTTAAATTGTATTGGTCAGGTGTAATTTCTAAAATAAATAGACATATGGATTCGGATTCGGACAAACCTGCAAATCAACTAACAATCAGTCGATTCGGCGGTTCATCCAAATCCGAAATAGCAAATGTTATATATGAACAAATATACTAAAACGATATTCAGGCATGCATAAATTCGTTTTCAGAACACACCGGCGGCCAGCATGTTCTGTCGCTCTGCCTCCAAGATCTCCTTCATCTTGGAGGTGGAGCGTGTGGCGTCACATGATGGTGACGTCACATGCTGAACTATCGGTGGCCATATCGCATGTGCTCTACCATTTTGGAGTAGATTCTGGTATACACTAAGATGGTGTTTCTTAAACATGTGGGTGCCACCATCTTAGTATATAACAAGATCTACTCCAAAATGGCGGCGCGCATGCGCAGAACGCGCCGGCACCTAATATGGCCTCCGCTCGCTGTGCAATTTCCGTATGCGGTTTCGCATTCGGAGGCTCGTTGCCTCCGAAAAAACATAAAAATGTATTTCCTTTGACGAAACGAATGACAATGTTTTTCATTTTCATTTGTTTTGTCTGAAAACAAACTTTTTTGTTGTGCACATGTCTAATGTTAAATGCTATGCATGGGGTATTCTTGGCAGTTGAACCCCTAACTGGTATTTTAGGTTGCTATGACTCCTCAGGGATGGATGGAAATATATGTTTGGCTATAAGGTGGGCATTATTTTTGGCTCATAAGCTAACGGTTCAGAAATGGGTATCTATATATCACCCCACAGTGGAGGAATGGAAAGCTGAAGTACACAAATACATGAGATTTGAGAAGCACACTAAATGGTTGAAAAATAATTTTTCGAAATTTGAATTGATGTGGTTCAGAGGGCCAAGCAACACTGTTTGAACTTATTATTTGATATGTTTCCTGAATATTGCTGACTGCCTAACCAGTATCTAGGGAGGGGAAAATTATACATTTTATTTGACCTCTTCTTCCCCCTTTTTTGTTGTTTTGTTTGTTGTTTTTGTTTTTTGGTTATTCAATATATAAAGTTATTATTTGGTTATTAACTTTTTTAAGTTTGTGGTATATCTGTTTATTAACTTATTAATTGATTTTGGGTATGGGGAAAACAAGATTGTAAAATGTAAAGTTTAATAAAAAGGCATCTAATCAAAAATATATATATATATCTTTTTTAAACATTTTAAAGTAATTTCATAGTAAAAATATAAATGAAATTGAATTTTATTCCTAAAGCCATTCTATTGACAATGCTTTTTGCATTTCTAAACACACTGGGGTATTTAGAGATGAACGTTAACAGATATTTGCAGGGGGCAAAGAGCACTTTAGTGCTTCTTGGTAATGGTGCCTACAATTTTTTCCTTTCTTTTTGTCAAGAAAATATGAAATATTGCATGTTCATATTTTGTTCAAATTTGTAGCCAGAAGGTTGAATCACTTGACTTATTTTCTCATGTTTTCCCATTTCTCCTTACTCCTTTTGGAAAAAGCCTGTTGTTTTTTAATAGCTAAAGCTGAAATTTAAGGTCCCCACACACCTTACGATAATCGTACGATAATCGCTGGAAATCCCGTGATCGTACGATTATCGTAAGGTGTGTGGAAGCCGTGCGACCTCTAATACTGTAAGGTCGCACGACTTTAAACTTACGAACATGTTTGAAAACCCGCCGAGCATCGTACGATGTCCGGAGGGTCTGTGGCATTTTCGTAAGATAAAAGCCGGACGGGCCGGTGTGCGCAAGCGCACACTGCCCGTTCGGCATTGCGGTCATCGGAAGCCCGCCCCTCAGGGGGCGTGGCTTGCGATCATCGTAAGTACGATCTGCCTATGCAGGATAGGCAGATCGTACGTTTTTTTAAAGCACCTTACAACCATCGCAAGACAAAAGTCTTGCGATGGTTGTAAGGTGTGTGCCCAGCCTTACAAACACAAGAGAATAAGTCAGAAGAGAGACTCATCCACTTCTCAGTCCTCTCTCTTCCATACACCTCAATCTGAGGATTTAATTAGACAGAAGGAGCCTAATGATAGGCAGCTTCTGCTGTGCGCTCTCCTAAGGAAACTCATAGAGGGGAATTTATCAGAACTGGAGCAGACAAAAACTGGAGCAGATGTGCATGGCAACCAATCAGCTTCTCTTTTTCATTTTCAAATCTTAAGTGAACAAGCTGAAGATATAAGCTAATTGGTTACCATGCACAGCTGCTCCAGTTTTTGTCTGCTCCAGTTTTTATATAATCCCTCCCTCCCCCCCAAGTGCTTTGTGAATCATTTAACAAGACATTGTTTCATCCTGATGAAATCTTGCCATAAATTGTTTTATAAAATCTAGAATTTATATCTGGAATGACAAAACACATTTTGAGTTTCTTTTTTTAGAGTTTACCGGAGAGAATACAGACATCTCCTGGCTTTTATCTTTGCTATTGATGAGATAAACAGCAGTCCAGATATTCTGCCCAATGTGACTCTGGGATATCATGTGTATGATTCTTGTGGAGATGTGAATAAAGCTACAAAAGATGTTCTGCAGATCTTGTCTGGACATTCCAAGACAGTTCCAAATTATTCCTGTATGGTGCGGGGTACAGTGGCTGGTTTCATCGGAGACCTCCAATCAGATACCACTCTCCAAATGGCTCAGTTTTTACATCTATATGGTTACACACAGGTAAGATAATCAGACATTGCAGACATTGCTAATTATCGTTCTATATTTACATCCTTTTAGAACAGGGAATATTTTGAGTTTGTTAAATCCAAAGCCTACATCTCATTTATCTTAAAATATTTAGAACACCTGTCAGATTTTTATTTTTGTTTGTGTCCCATTTGCTGATTTTTCTTTTCTTCCTGTTTGGTGAAACTGTTGTCAGCAGGGCAGGAAGTGAGAATAAACCTCTGTAACAGAATCCCAAAGAGCTATTAAACCCAACAGAAGTTCTAACCTTTCCCCGCCCAATCCAAAACTATAAACAAGTTTCACATTCACTTTAATTTAACAACCATTTGTTCTTTCTTTCTAGATTAGTTACGGAGCTAGAGACACTTTACTAAGTGACAGAAAGATGTTTCCAAACCTTTTCCGGACAGTTTCAGATAATGAGATGCAATATGTTGCCATAGTGAAGTTACTGAAAAGGTTGAAGTGGAACTGGGTCGGGATCATTACATCTGATGATAAATATGGAGAGAGGGAGATACAACAACTCAGCAAACAGTTAACTAATCATGGAATTTGTATTGAATTTAGGATCATGGTATCTGTGAAGAATCATGATACAATCCCTCTAGATCTTCAGACATCAACTACTGAAGTTCTTATTATTTGTGGCTCAATTAGCAGAACGTATTACAAGTTTTTGTGGCAGAGTGTTTTTTATCACATGGATAAAACATTTATCATTCCTGATTCTTGGTCAATAGATAGAGAATTTTTTATAATCAGTAACTGCAGTTTGGTGTTTTCAAGTCCAGATCCCTCTATAGTGAGAATGCAGGAATATTTTGATAGCATTAGTTTCTCAAGCCGCCCAGATGACCCAATGCTGGAGGATATTCTCATAACTGAATACTATTGCTTTTCAAGACATCCGGAGAAGAACTTGCTGATTCCACTCACAACTCAATTTCCTGTTCATAACTGCACTTTGGAGAGTTTGAAAAATGATTTATATTTTCCTGATGATAAAACTCCTTATAGAGTGTTTCTTGCAGTCAACATATTGGCAAAAGCTTTGCATGACATATATCTCTCTTTACAAATAAATGAAAGGGGAGCTGAGGTGAAGTTAGCAAGCTTTGTGCACAAGGTGAGTGTATTCAACTTTAATAAAAGGTACACTGTCCCTTTGCCCATTCAGAGCAAAGTGCAAGTGTATGTGCAAACGGGCCTCCCAACCCTCAGAAACATACTTGGCAGCAATCAATTCAATGTAGCTCCTCTCCTTCTATTTAAAAACTAACAGGGCTATTTACTAAAGGGTGAAGAGTTTGGAGAAGATAGGAGAAGTGAACAATCTAGGAAGACATAGCTGAACTGGAAAATGAATTGGAGAATTTTTTCAAATCAGCTATTTTTACCTAAATTGTTCACTTCTCCTGCCGTCTCCAAACTCTATATAAACCCTCCATTTCCTTGCTATTATACATATGTATGAGCAAAAAACAGACAGGTGCCTACCCTAATGTAAAATCGCTTTATTGCTAAACAGATGGAAATTAACATCAGTTATACTCACAAAGAGGATAAGTGTTCATAAAGCCTTAATCAGCTGTACCACAACAACTGTATTCGAGGGTTACAAACAATCACAAGGACATTGAAAAATGCAATCAACATGTCTCTCAAATCCCGCTTCTGGATGCTGATATGTTTCCAGGGCCACACCCCCTTCCTCAGAGCATGTGTGATCATTTATACCCCTTGAATACAGTGGTTGTTGTGGTACAGCTGATCAAGGCTATACAAACACTTCTCCTTTGTGAGTATAACTGAATTATAGTTAATTGAGTTAATTTCCATCTGTTTTGCAATAAAGAGATTTTACACTACGATAAGCGCGCCTGTCTGTTTTTTTTTTTATAAAGGAAAATTCAGTCTCCCTGACTGTAACATGGGCTGCCCCCAATAGTGGTGCATGTACAAGTGCTTCTGGGCTAAAACTCAGGTTTTGTGGAGCTGATGTGGAATGGTTTTAAATAGGGATGCACCGATACCGCTACAAGCATTGGTATCGGCAGCGATACAGAGTATTTGCTTGAGTACTCGTACTCGTGCACTCATTGCTAACTAAGGCTTGTATCCCCATAGTGGGGAAAATAGATGATCACATGTCCAGACTCCAGAACAGTGTATTATTGTATAGTGTGGCACAGCTGTATCCAATTCTGCATACCTGGCTTTATATTATAAAGTTCTTATAATATAAAGCCAGGTATGCAGAATTGGATATAGCTGTGCCACACTACAGAGTGTTCATGTTCTTCATAATATTAAGAAACTGACCTAAAATCATGATTTTGTATTGCTTTAGAAAAAATGTGACCTGTCCCTTTAAGAAAAAGTATCGGTAAAATTGGTATCGGCGAGTACTTGAAAAAAGTATCGGTACTCGTACTCGGCCTTGAAAAAGTGGTATCGGTGCATCCCTAGTTATAAATATGTATGAGCAGTTAACAGAAGTACCTGTGAGTTTCAGCACTGTGATTTTTCTGCTGTACAATCTGACAACAGACATATCAAGTTTTAGATGATTCCTGCTAAATCAGCTGAAATTTGAGCCACGAATGACCCTGCACAATGAAAAGTATTTTTGCTTAAAAGAAATCAATTCATACAGTTGTAAAATTGTCAGTTGAATGGTGCCTGCATCCTATCAGGTACAGACACTATCTGCCGCTACCACTGTATTTAGGAGGGGGTACGTAAGGCCCAAAAAAAAAAATCTTGCACCAGGGCCCTTTGTTCCTTAGCTCCGCCACTGCGTGCCAGAGTTGAATGAAATAGTCTGCAGTGAATGACAGAAGTTCAAACAATCTTTGGACAGTCTTATGCTGCAGGTACCTTTTAAAATAAATCCTCAAGTAAGACATTTATTACAATTTAAGTGGGAGATAAATATACCCAAAACTAGCACTGCCACAGGATGCACTAAACAGCCTAATTGACCTCAAAAGTGCATGCACATCATGTGTATAAGCTCTCCTAGGGTTCCAGGATCTCCTACTACTCTTCCTCTTGTTCAACTCTGCCAAGGATCTCTGCACTGAGGTTGGTGGCAGATACTATTACCAGCCACTCTTCTGTTCTTAGCCTAATATGCTCATAGAATCCCTTTGTTTTGGTTTCCTGTATCACTAGTTACCAAGCCAACCACACAGATATCAGTTCTGATGAAAAAAAAAGTCACCACATAAGTCACAATAGTGTAAAGGTTTAGGGCTATATTATATATATACATCACAAGGTATTCATTATTTTTAAAAAATCCTTACAAATTTTCTAAAAACCTTAAAAACCCCAGCATGACGTGTTTTGTCAACAGACTTCATCAGTGACCCTTAATGTCTTCTGATGCTTTTTGTGATTTTCCAAACTGATACACGTCCCCCAGTAGCCATGAATTCCATGGAATTCAACACATTCCAGGGATCCCCGCAGCCCCGGAGCCTCAAGTAAACTCCTTTATAAATTCTAGGGTGGAGCTTATGCAGGGTAAGGAGCCACCCCTGTTCCTAAATGACAGAGCTAAGGATTGCTGATTGGCTACTCAGGCAGGGAAAGAAGGAGAGAGAGCATCATATACTTCACACTATCCAGAAGTACCAGGTATTTTAAGGGTCCCTGGCATGGGAATAGGGAGGTGAAAGAGTTGCATACGATTTGGCAGGCTACCAAGCAAACATATTACCTTGCCCAATAATGAATTTGGAAGCATTAAGATGATGAATGATTGCCAAATATGTAGGTATGTCTTATTTCCATGGGTGCCACATGTATAGTATTCCTGATTCATTCATTGGTTCTGTTTTTTTTTTAAGGTATCTCGCTATGTACACTCAGTACACTACATGGATCCATATAACAAGGAAATATATTTTAAAGGAAAGGGAGATCTGCCCAGCCCGCTGGAAATTGTAAATTGGATAACACAAGTTGAAGACAAAAATGTCACATATTGGAGACATGTGGGCCACTTTGAAGGGTTTCTTCCTGAAAATCAGCAACTTACTCTCACACCACAACTGATATCATGGAAACGTGACCAGGTGACAAAAAATAAAGAAAGCTAATATTGTGAGAATACATAGACTGTCATTGATGTCATGTTCATCCAAAGGATCTAATTCTTCCTGGGTCATTGACTTTGAAAAAATGTGCAGATCTGGAGTTCTGATATTCCTCTGACTTCACAGCCTACAATCCTTATCTAGTTTGGTTATGAAGAAAGTGTTGAGGTCAAAAACATAAAAGCAATTAGGAATTTCAAAAGAGGGTCAGCAGTAGCAGCTTCATATTTCTCCCACTACAGGTTTCCTTATTTTGAGAGATTTTCACTTAAAATGCAGCTGTGCCAAAACAAACAGTAAAAGAGCTTTAAAACCATGAGATTTCAGCAAAGATATTTATCATGGATCATTCTGTGTATGAGTATATAACTTTGCCTTCAATTCCAGCAGAGGTGATGACTTTAACCCATTAGATCAGCAGGGACAGACATGACACCTCCCATTGGATAGGATGTTTTCCTAAACAGTCCCTCTATGTTCATACTTTCTGCCACCGTGCTGCTCCAAATTTCCCCCATTATTCCCAGAAACAAACTTGTGCATTTGTATAGACAGATGTACTCCAAAAACTCTCCCATTGCTTTATGCTTAATGCACGTAGCAATAAACGATGTGCTTACTTCACATTAATAGCATTTAGTACTCCATCAGATAATATACTGATGGGAATATCCTTGGGTCCTGATAACGCACACAATGTGGTGATCATATTCCTATTTTTACACTTCATGCTGTGCTCACAATTAAAAAGTGTGTAGCAGGGGCGTGGCTGGCGCGTAGACGGCATGGACGTGTAGTCGGTGTGCTCTGTACCTGAAAGCTGCTGGGGACTCATTCAGGGGGACCCGGGACGTAATTCACACCGCTTACTGTCCCCGCGGCTCTCCTACACTGGCTGCCGCCATGTCTCGGAAGCGCACATGATGAGACGGCCGAAAAAACTGTTGGTCTTTTTTGCTCCCGCGGCCGGCGAGGAAGACCAAAGATGGCGGCGACACATCTCCCTTTCCAGCTCCTTTCCCGTCAGACTCCTCTAATAGAAGGAATGCATCCAGACCTGATGCCAAATCTAGATCGGTGGCCTCGTCTGGATCATCAGACCCTCACCCCAAAAGCCTTCTCCTACTTGGAGCCCAAAAATCCAGGCTGAGGATGTCAGAGGGGCACGGAACCGCAGCTGGGGTGAGCAACACTACATCATCATCTCTAGATAACACTAGAGAACTACACAGCTCCATAAACGGCTTCCCTACAGCTAACCAGACAATTATAGATACCACTTTAAAAGAAATGCTTATATCTCTAAGCAGTGCCATTCATACTGATATGGTCTCCCTGGTTCAGGACCTCCGTACGAATGTCTCGGCTATAGGTGGCAGAGTAGATCACGTTGAAACTAAAATGGGTGAATTTGCCGCCGCGATTAACATGATTATTGATTCCCACACACACCTATCAGATGAGGTCCACTGGCTTAAATCTAAAATGGCAGACTTGGATGATCGGTCGCACCGCAATAACGTCAAGATAAGGGGCATTCCTGAATCAGTTTTGCAGCAAGACCTGCGTGCATTAGTTTCTACAATGTTTAAGGAAATACTTTTGGATTTGTCTGATGCTGACTTAACGATTGATAGGATACCAAAGCCCTTGTTCCTGCAGGAGAAGGTTCCACGTGATGTTCTTATGCGCATTCATTTTTTTCATGTTAAAGAGGAAATTCTGGCTAGAGTTCGCTCTGCAACGCAGATCCTGGAGAAATACTCCAAGATGCAATTTTTCCCCGGATCTGTCACAACATACCCTGAATTGGAGAAAGAACCTCGCTCCCATCACCAGAGCGCTATGTAAACACAATATCACCTATCGTTGGTGATATCCAACCAAGATTCTTCTCACTAACAAGGGCTCCTCTCATGTCATATCTACACTGGCGGAGGGAGTTAAGGTCCTACGTCTATGGAACATCAAACTGGATGAATCACCTCCACTGACATCGACGCCTGACGCAAGAAGGCTGGTTACAGAATGGAGAAAATTCACAAAAGGCAGGAAGCCGCACACTTGAAGAGAATCTGGGTCTCCACTACTATTTTTGAGATATTTAGCCTTTTGGCTTATCTTTCTATTCTAGAGAGTTCAAAGTATGCTTGATATGGCCAAGAAGCTTAACTTTGTCCCTATTCATCGCTGAGCAGTATTGCACTGCACACAATTTCCTCTTGGATCTTTCCTTTGTACAGCTAACACGTGCTGTTAATGTTGCTAACTATTCTTTTTTTTCTTATGTTCCTTATTTGTTTTTCACCCTTTGTTGGTACATCCTGTTTCCATATTGCATCCGTAGCTTTAACTGAGAATTGTAAGATACTGCCTGCTGGGGTCTGTGGATATGGATGGTCATACTACTCCTTTGTGCCGGACCTACGTGGTCCTGTTAGTTATTGTAGAGTTATATCATTTACCTTGCTACATAAATGTCTCTAAACATATTTCCACTTAATGTCAAAGGCCTTAACCACCCAGCCAAGAGGTTGTGGTTATGGAGGGAGGCTTTAAAATCCAGGACGGATGTGGTTTGCGCTCAGGAAACACATTTTAGGCGAGACCATGTTCCATGGTGCCTTCACAGGGAATTCAAAGAAATATATATGTCTCACATGCCCAATAAGAAGAAAATGAGGGTATTGATTGCAATATGGAACACAATATCCTTTGTTCCCAAATAAGTCATTCTGGATGATAAGGGTAGATACAGTATAATTGTTGGGTTATGTTCTATATATTATAGTGAATATTTATGCTCCCAACACCCACCAAATCTGTTTTTTGAACAAACTAGTTACTAAGGTGGCCAAAGTTAAGCAAGGAGCTTTACTAATGTGTGGAGACCTTAATCTGGTCAATGACGCAAGCGTATAGGTATAAATTAGTAGACGCATATCTGCAACACTTGCACCCTTTTTGGCTAGGGAACGCCTGTAGGATGTTTGGAGGTGCCTTCATGCCTCAGAGCGGGATTCTACGTATCACTCTGTGGTTCTCAACTCTTACTCCAGGATAGACTTGTTTTTGGTGGAGCTGTCTCTTCTCCAGAGGATCTCATGGTCAGAGATCCATTCTATAACGTGGTCAGATCACGTTCCTGTTTCTCTACAGATTTCGATATTTCAAATAATATCTGACGTGGCGGGTAAACAAGTGAACCCTTCCCCGGACTTGGCACTGCTATACCTGGGCATTGACAACGTTCTCTCTAAATACCGGACAGTGGTTACACATGTGTTATGGGCCGCAAGACTAAACGTAAAAAAGAAGATGGCAATCCTCCGACCCGCCCACAGTCGCACAAGTAGTGGCTATGGTAAATCTTCATTACCATCACAAGGGCAAGGGAGGTAAATAAATTTACCAAATCCTGGGAGCCCTGGACCACTTGGTATTCTATGGTCACTGTGACTTTATATCTACAATATGTATAATGACTATGCCTCAGGCACCAAGGTTTTTTGTCTATGTACTGTGTTCATTGATACCATCACACTTTTTGGTTGCAAAAGGTAAATTGTTTAATACAGTGGTTGACTTGTTTTATGCTACTTGACTTGAAAGGTGCCAACCCGTGTGGGTTTACAATTGTAAATTGTTGATATTGGTGGTTAGCTCACACTGTTTTCACTATATGCATTTTTTTTGCCTTTCTCTTTTCTTCTTTTGGAGGAGCGAGTACAATAATAAAGCAAGAACAGAGCACATGCCGGTAGGACTACAAGCAACAAAAGAGCCCTGCATATTTGTGGGATCAGAGAGTAGTGATCTAGTTGTTTACTTCACACCACTGGCCTTGGTGGTTTCTTTCCATATATCATCTCTACCCTGTTTAGGCTGCTAACAGGTGTGCTGTTCAACTTCACTTTCCCCTTGTGGTTCTTCCCACATATTGCAGGCCGCAAGGACACTCCAAAAGTTCCCCTGTGGTTCTTCCCACATATTGCAGGTCACAAGGACACTCCAAAAGGATTGTCTTTTTCTTCTAAACCCCTCCAAACATCTTCCGGGATTGTGAGAATGACGCAGGCGGACCGCGAATGGCAGAAGCCGCCACTTGCTTTAACGGGCAGCCGGAGTTAACTGTGGTGCTGCAGGGGAGAAACGCCTTTATATACCCGATCCACAGCTGCAAGGAGAATTGGATATATTGAGAGGGTGGACCGATTGACCAGATTGGCATCTCTCAGAGGGGCTTGAGTTACTCACTACATCTAGTGAGTATTCACTGCTCAGGGGGGCTGCTGTTCTAAAGATTGGGACAATGAATAACCTGTTTTCCTTTTTTCTTTCACTATTCAAAGTGTTCATTACCGAACTTATTCAAATGTTTTTTTTCACTGACACTTGTTACTATTCTTATCGGTATTGATTTAGAAAGTATCACTTTTCATTTGACACTGAACATTTTTCTGCTACACTGCGTTTGCATTGAATGGATTGAATAATTTTTTTAGGATTCAATATTGTATCACTGAGAACATTTTTTTCACTCAATTTATATATTTGTCACAGAGATTTATATCTGATCATGTCTAATTTATTTTGATTATTTATTCCATACTATTTCCTATTCACATTTGTTTATTTCATCATATTTATTTGTTTTCATATATCATTTCATGAGGGAATATTTTTTCACTTTTAACAGTGGATTTTGAATTGTTATTTATTTGTTCACCCTTAGTGCTGTGTTATTTTCTCTTTGCACACTAGGTTTCTTCCTTTCTCATAGCAGCTTTGGGGTTAATAGTATTTAGCTGGTTCCAAGAGCGCAGATTTTTTCTTTATACTTATTTTGGATGTACCTTGGATTGCTTGCTTTTTTTTGTTTTTTTCTGTTTGCCTTTTTCCCTGTATTGTTTGTTCATGTACAAAACTCAATAAAAATATATTACAAAAAAAAAGTGTGTAGCAAGACACGACAAGTCCTCTAGTCAAAAACAGATGTCAAAGAGCACCCATTGTGGCAGGTTGCATTGACACATTTTGTTCTCATCATATATGTCATCAGAATGCTACTGTGCATGTCCATGTTCTTCCCTGACATACATGTGTCTATCATTTAGGGCAACGAGCTCTATGTAGTGGCCAGTATTGCTCACTGACACTTAACTCAGACCACCCATTGAGATTATTGATTAAGTCCTCCTTACCATCTTGTCTTGAATTGTATTGTAACTGTAATGTCTTCCTTATATTGTAAAGCGCTGCGCAAACTGTTGGCGCTATATAAATACTATGTAATAATAATAATAATAATAATATCAAGTCTAACTATAGGGAAAAGGGAGAAGGAGGAAGGGGAAGGCTATTGAAAGGTACTGAAACAAATCGTACTTCCTTTTCCCCTGTGTTTGCATAAAAGCTTTGACAGAATAATATCCATATACAACCAAAAATGTATGAATATTCTCAAATGCCAAAGAGGTTGGAGAGCTACCATCAATTACCTGTAAGGAGTACTTTCCATCTTACTACCATCACAAAAAGGTGACATAACAATTTGGTAATTAAATAGCAAAGATCTAAACTGGACATTGTTAGTTTGGAACAATATATCAAAGAAGGTATGGTACCATAGAGACTTATAGAAAGGACTTCTCCATCTGAACCTTTGAAAAATCAAAGGTAGTAACAAAGGGGAATATGGTCCTGATGCAGGAAAAACTTTATCATGATGAGTTATTGATGAATGCAACAAATTATCCGAGATTAATTGCCATTTTCAGATAGGAAAACCACACTATCTTCTTATCATCCAATATGTAAAAATGCATACGCCATAGATACTTCCTGCTTCCATCAATTCTAAAGAAATTGTTCATCAGTAGAGATGAACTCAGGTTCAGACCCAATATGGTCCCTACTTGAGCTCCTTTGAGAAAGGAAATGTTATTGGCACTTCCATCCTGCAGCTGCATGTAAACAATGGAGCACGATGCTTGTACTGATTGCCACATAGCCATATAAGGTAAATGAAATCCCAGAAAAAAAACAAAACTGTACATTAATTTCTGATCATTTGATGAATCCATCAATAATCTCCTTTTAACATTTGTCTTCCCATTTCATGACAATATTCCCCCTTAATATTACATTTCAATTTTGAAATGCTCAGATGGAGAAGTCCCTTCTCTAAGTCTGTGTGGTACCATACGTGCTTTAGTTTATTGTCCCAAACTAGCAATGTCCCATTTACATCTTAGATGACACCTACACATATTTTTTTTTTTTTATAATTTCCCTTGCATATTATTGGGTATTCTTTGCCCAAGTGAAGTATGAACACCATATTCACAAATGCATGATAGTTAAAATTGCCTTGCAAAGTAGAAAATCAATTTTGAATGTGAACAACCTCTGCTCCTTAGTAAATGAAGGCCTTGGGGGTCCATGTTGTTCCACTGAAATCATCGAGGAAGGAAACTGCAGCTTATAATTAGACCCAAGGCTGTAATTCCACCCAAACACAGATGCAAGTATATTAGGCAACATGGCTAAAAAAAATGTAAGGGGTTGCCCTTTAAAAATTACATATACCTACATTGAATAACATTCATTTCTTGGCATGTTGTCATTTAACATTTTCCAATTTTACTAGTCTACTAAATAGTATTTGTAATGATTTATCTTCTTTTGTATCTTAGGCCCCAAGAGGTCGATGTTCTGAGGAATGTCTTTCAGGGTTTAGAAAAGCTCTAAGGGAAGGGTATCACGTATGTTGTTATGACTGTGCTCCGTGTTCAGAGGGAGAAATATCAATCCATTCTGGTAATCTTTATGTTCCTGGAAAACTTACAGGGAATGTATTTTGGTTTTAAATATTTAAGAAAAATAAGTTAACTTTTTTCCAATGTGACCAATGATAACTTTAAAACAAAGTGTAGCTACAGATATAAAGTGCTAATTTTATTCTGCAGTTTCCCCATTATATTGACAGAGTGTAGAATGGATATTCCGAGCTTTTAGCTCTCTTTAGTGTAGGGTATATTTATACATTTGTAACATGTTATATGTTTAACAATGTGCAAATGTATGCTTTATTGTATTTTACTGTAACTAGGTCCTGAACACACACACACACACACACACACACACACACACACACACACACACACATTGGAATTCTTAAATACTCATAATCACACAGGGTGTAGTAGATGGACCTGTATTTCTTTTAAACATTATCAACCATATAACTATCTATAACTATCTATATCTGCAATGGTTTTGACCAGGGCTGATGAGTTGTGGCAGGGGCAGTGGTGGAAGCCAGGCCGTGTTGTCAACGGCTCTGTCTTGCATCCTGCCCAGCTCACTGACATCACTGGTTGCCAGGAACTGAACAGGGCGCTCTCACTGGCATCCCATCCAAAGCCTGCAAACCAGTGACACCAGTGAGCTAGGTGGGACACCGGACACAGCCAGAGCCAGAGGTACCAGCAGCGATCACCCTGGTAACATTATCACCATCTCAGCATCACCCGCCGGCCCCAGGCAGATATAAGTCTTGGTACACCCCTGGCTTTGTCTTGGAGATTATTGAATGCTCTACATTTGTTAGGCCAGTCCATCTAAATCTTCTTACACTCTCCACAGGCTGAAAATGTTGCTGTTCAAGTGTGGCTTTGGTGTTTTTTCATAGAATGGAGCCACCCAAATACCGTGTGTTACTGGCCAGACCACTAGCTTAAAATAAAGAGAAAAACAAAATGCAGCCACAATTAAGGTTTGGCAAGCTGTAATGCATAATGTTTTGTTTTGGGGTTTAGATACCTATAACTAAAGCTGGCCATACACCTATAGATTATCTGCAGATTTTCTATGGTCAGATGAAAAAAGTGCAACTGATTCCTCCATCTACGCTAAACTGTGTGGATAAAGGAATCTCCCACTGGGCCAAGCTTCAGTATCTTGCTGTCAAAATGCCTGAACAATCTGATTGGATGCCGGCATTGTTTATATAATTTGAGAGCCAGTGGGGCTGACTAGCAAGTTACTGAAGCTTGGCCCAGGGGGAGATTCCTACATCCACAGTTTATCGTAAATGGAGGAATCTGCTGCACTTTTTCCATCTGTCCTTAGACTTCTGACCATTTGGCATTGTATTATATTATTCACAGTATATTTATCTCCACTACCTAGTGAGGAAGCTACTGTTGTAGCAAAACACATTGAGGAAAGGAGTCACAGGTCTTTTTCACTCTTGAACAAAAGACTATTTGAGGTGTCTGTTATAAATATTCTCATGCAGAGTTTCTATGTTCCCAGCATGGTTTTAATCTTTTTTTGTATGTCATTTTAACTTATGTAAATACAATGTGTTGGTTTTTATGGGACACATGTTTTCGACTCCTTTGATACTAAAAACAGTATTTTGGCTTTCACATTATTAGATGATGGAAGTCAGCAGAGCTTCACCTCATTCATTAAGCTAATGTAAAATTCTCCCACAAAGAGTTAATTCCCTTTGTAAAGTCAACAGCCTGTTTGACTTTAGTAAATCAACTGCAATAAGTAAAAATGCAAAGTGTGCCGTGCTGTGGAAATGTTCATTTACCTTCCTGCTGAGAACTAGGAATACACATACGTTTGTGTACTAAGTTTTCATACCCACTGTCAACTGGAGAGTTGAGTCATGGAGGTATGGGCAAGTTAACTGTCACATACTAACACTGGTAAACCAGGTCTGGGTGTCTAAGCTTCAATAAACTCTGGTCACAAGAAGGTTGGGTGTCAGCATTCATTGTACATTATGGACATTTTTCAGTATATGTTTCTTCTACAGATAGTGAAAACTGCCAGATGTGTCCTGAAGATCAATGGCCTAATGAGGCTAGAAATGTTTGTGTTGCCAAAATATATGAGTATTTGTCATATGAGAAGGACATTGTGGTTGTGTTTTTTTCTGTATCTTCAGTCATATTTTCTGCTACATCTCTCTCTATACTTGGAATGTTTTTTTGGTTTCGGAGCACTCCCATAGTCAGAGCCAATAACAGGAACCTTAGCTTCATTCTGCTCTTCTCTCTCATGCTGAGTTTCCTTTCTGTTTTCCTGTTCCTTGGACATCCAGTGGATATAACTTGTATGCTGCAACAAGACTTCTTTGCAGTTGTCTTCACAGTCTCTCTGTCTTCTATCCTAGCCAAAACCATCATGGTTGTTATTGCTTTTAAAGCCACCAGACCTGGAAGCTCCTGCAGGAAATGGGTGGGAGTCAAACTTCCCAATACAGTCCTGTTGTTCTGCTCATTAATTCAGGTTATGATTGGTGTTTTCTGGTTGTCCATCTCTCCACCATTTCAAGAGTATGACATGCACACTTCTCCTGGGAAGATCATCATTCAGTGTAATGAAGGGTCAGTTATCGCATTCTACTCTGTGTTGGGTTATATGGGGCTTCTGGCAGCTGTGAGTTTTGTTTTGGCTTTCATGGTGAGGACATTACCGGATAGTTTTAATGAGGCCCAGTACATCACCTTCAGCATGCTGGTGTTCTGCAGTGTCTGGATTGCAATGATCCCGGCCTATCTGAGTACCAGAGGAAAGTATACAGTAGCAGTGGAGATATTCGCCATACTGACCTCCAGTGCTGGAATATTAGTCTGTATATTTTTTCCAAAATTGTATATTCTACTTTTTAAACCTGAGCTGAACACAAGAAAATCCATCATGGCAGGAAGAATTATGTAAAATATTCTAATCTGTATACATGTATGCTGTATTTTCTCTGCTTGTAATGATTTTAAAGGGATTATCATTATTATTATTAATAGAATTATGCATAAAATAACACATAGGATTATAGTCATGTATTCTTGGTAACTGAATTTAATTGACTATATAGAAATTGAAATGAATGATAATGGGTAAAAGTGAGTGAATTTTAATACAAAGTGAACTTATCCTTTTTGCCCCTCTCATTTGACCTAACCCACCCCCCTCTTCGTATGCATACTTACCTTGATGCAATGGCTGTTTACATTTATTTGTGCAAGTCTTTATTGGAGACAGTCCCATTTACGTCTATAGGACTGTATTTTGCAGGTGCGGCCAGGACAGTGAAGACTTTCCGCTCTTGATGTAAACAAACAGGTGATCTACGGCCCTCTGATCAAAGCAAGTACACGTCTGTGGAGGTGGAGCCTGGGCTAGGTTAGTTCAGGGAAAGGGGCAAAAATTATAAATGCACCTTTTTGTTTCCCATTTCTTTATTTAACAATCCACCAATGAACAGGCAGTATAAAAATGAGAAAAATCATAAATTGCATTCGTACAAAGTACATAAACACAATGGGTTCCAAAGCAGGATAATCAGTGGAAGCTACGGTGAGCGATTTCATTCATTCACTCGGCTGCCCTCGGCAGCTTCGTGAATAGACCCCACAATCTGCTTCGTGCAACCCTAGGTCTAAAGCACATAGCATTGAATGCACTTTGTTTTAAAGTACTCATATTCTTTAGGTGAAATTAGATTAGCTGAGATCATCATCACCAAAAACTTTGCACAAATATATGCTTCCTTTTCCATTTGCATTTAAATCTAAATTATTTAGAGAGAGTTATTTTTTAATGTAGGATGTTGCTGCTCAAGGTTGCTTATGATGATTAAGGGGAAAGGCCTGAAACTGCCCTAAAGTGACACGAAGCTCAGCAGTTAAACCTTAAAAGTTAATTCTAGTACCATAACAATTAACAAAAATGTATCTTATTTGTGTGTCACTCGGCTGTAGATCCTCAAATCATCTCTGAATTGGTGCTGACACTGTGCTTCCTTCTGGAGGGTGGCTACTTTTGTTCCCCATGGTCCCAGTGTGTGTTGTTGTCAAAGCTCAATAAAAAATCAGACAAGCAAAAGGTGCTAGTTAAAATATTTATTAAGAACAGTGTCCAGAATCATAAACCAGAACAAGCCAAAGTCTGGAGCCGGAGTGGGTAGTTGAACAAACCAGGTCAGGAACACGGAGATCAGCGTCGTCAGGAACAAGCCAGGAGCCAGGAAATCAGCATTGTCAGGAACAAGCCAGCAGCAGGAGCCAGAGGAGAATGTCAGCCAGGATCGGCTCATACACAGAATCAGGATACTCAGAGCAGCAGGAATGCACTCGCAGGCAGACCACCCAAGGGCAAGGTCAGACTGGACTGAGTGGTTTATATATAGTGAATGGGGTGGCATAATCAATCAGAGACAGGAAACTCCCATCTGACTCTCTCAGATGATGCTCTCCTGTTTGGCCATAAGAGGGAGCCTGGGAGTAGTGAGCAACGTTACAGAGTCTGCTCAGGCAAAGAAAGAAACATAGGTGGGTAAAATGGCAGTCAAGCCAGAATGCTGCAAACCAGTAAATTTAGGGTGGAACCCTGACAGTTGTAAAGTAGTCACTGCTCCGAGATTGCTCCTGTGATGGACTACAATCTCACGTTTAATTTACTAATTTGTATTGAGATTTTAGTCCATAATAGGAGTGAGCTTGGAGTGGTGGCTACTTTACAACACACACAGGGACCCTCCAGAAGGAAGAACAGTGTCAACACCAATTCAGAGATGATTTGAAATCAAAAACATAAAAGAAAAAATATTCTTATTCCACCTAGAGGCAAACTTACTATGACGAACTTAAGCCAGCAAATATGATTTTTACAGTTTACAATGAATGTGCCATGCACCAACTGTCCGCATTCACCAGACACACATTCACCATAATACATATATGGTGAAGATGAAATGTCAGACCAATGTGAATGAACGTCAGATGGGCAAATTGCTCTTACCCACTGGGGAATTTTCATCTGACTCCTTCATGAATATACCCCTCTGTCCCAATATGACATGCTTTTATTCGGAATACTAGAAGATTGCTTTTTTGGCCAATCTAATTTATATCCTTTTTTAGTCATACACTTTCTTTACTGCACAAATAAACCTCCATAAGTTTGTCTATTCCAGAAGAGGTAAGTTTACATGGTGGGGTTGATTATCAGAGTGGAGTGCAGGGTGGAGGATGTTTTATAAAAGTGAAAACAGTGAAGCGCCACGGACTGTCAGTCCTTAATGGGAATTGCTTTTAGGCATACTGCAGGATGCTGCCCCAAAGAAGCCGGGAAAGCTGGAAACCTAGGAAATAAGCACAAGAGGGGCACCTTTCCTGGTGCAGATCACTTTTATTTCAATAAACATGAATAAAAAACCGAATCATACTCACAAACATGAGTGTCACAAAGTCATGAGGTGAGGACTAACAAGCAGTGAGATGTCCACTAGGTGATACCAGTGTAGTGGTGACGTTAACGCGTTTCCGGGGCACGCCCCCTTCATCAGAACATAGCGTCACCCTTCCTCTCTCCAACTTTAAAGTATGAGTGGCCAATCAGAGGCGAGCCATAAACGCTTGTCACGGCATAGATTCAGTTGCAGCCGTGGCTTTGTCCGTCTAGGGCACCGTGCTTGGGGAGGAGTGCCGCTATCAGCCAATGGGGACCCGGAGCAGCTCGGGCTCCACCCACAGGGTGTCGCCAGCGCTTCAGCCTATCACGGCATCCAAAAACCGGACTTGCTGATGCATATGAGGACAACAGAGTGTCAGCTGTCAGCATGTGCTGAGATTCCAAAGTACTATGAGAACTAAGTCTCCTATACGGGATGGATAGAGGAAAGGTGCACTAAAGCTGATGTCTCCACAAAAATGTGAACACAAGCAGCCATATATTAGTTATGCATAAAGAACATGAAATTAGAAATTGATGGTTAAAAACATGATATGTGGTAAGAATACATGGTGATGAAAAAAATGCATATAGCTATATATACCGTACTGAGAGGAAATATGCAAGTAGCGCATAATCAAATGAATATTAACATTGAGACCCCATGAGGAATTGCAAATGATAGATAAAAGACCAGTGCTAAAAGCCAGATCTATACATAATTGGTAATACCATATAAAATAGATTGGAGTAAAAAGACATCATGTGAAGGAACTGGATGGGTCAGTGGATGGTAAGACTATCACAAGACTAAAAATGGATTTAAAAATAAAAATAAATGTAAATTTTTTAAACAAAAATTAATTTAAAAATAAGTTAAAAGGAATGTGATGAAAGATGAGACGGGGCCGAACAATGGGAGTAGTCGGGGAAGGTTGTAGGGGTGGTGGCCAATGGAAATTGGTGGGATGCCCTTCGGGTCTATGGGAGATTGTCGGAGTCACAGGAGCAGCAGTGATTGGGACAACCGTAAAGGGCGGTTATAGAGAAGATACCAGCTCTAAGCCCTCATTGAGCCCACTGGGGTGTAGGCTGTTCAGAGAGTAAATCCAAAAGGTCTCTCTCTGACATAATCTTTTGTATCTCGTACCTTCATCGGAGTTATCTGGTATCATCTCTATACCAAATACTTTAAGTCCCTCGGGGTTCGAGCTATGGGCCTCCAAAAAATTTCTGGGCATAGAGTGGTCGTCTGCTTTTTTAATGGCCTTTCTCTTATGCTCTCCGAACCTGGTTCGCAGAGTTCTGATCGTACGACCTACATATAATTTACCACAAGGGCAAATGAGACCATAGATCACAAACTGTGATGCACAGTTAATAAACTGCTTGATGGGGAAACTTTTGCCTAAGTGGAAAATTTCCTTTTTTCTGTGCCAAAGGTATGAGCATGTTCCACAGTTGTATATATTACACTTGAAGCATCCTGTTTGGCCAAAAATACCTTTGCCAGAATTCAATGTTTTAATCGACTTCAATCTACTAGGGGCTATCTTGCTACGAAGGTCTTTAGGTTTTTTGAAAATTACCTTAGGGCAGCTAGGGAGAGAGTTCTTCAGGACTGGATCTTCCCTCAGGATGCGCCAGTGGTTTTTCAATATTCTTGAGATTTGGAAAGCCCCATCATTGAATTGGGTACAGAAATTGATATTATAGAGTTCTCTGCCGTTGGGTGCCTTCTTGGAAACAGAGACCCGATGCTTATCGAAGGCCTTCTTAATCAAATTGATGTCATATGCCTTGTCTAGAAACTTTTCTGTTAGGATGGTGCCTAGCGCCTCATAGTCTGAATCTGAGGTGCACGTTCGTCTGATCCTACCGAACTGCCCATCAGGAACATTTCTGATCCATCTGGGGTGATGGTTGCTCCTGGCGTGTAGGTAGGAATTACCCGCCGAGGGTTTAAAATGGGTTTTAGAGGTAATTTCTCCGCTATCGTCGGCTCCTAATTCCAGATCTAGAAAGACTAATGATTTGTCGTCTACAACAGATGTGAAATCTAGGTGAAAGGGATTGTTCTTACAATAATTTACAAAGGCAGAGAATTCTAGGGCGGTACCATCCCAGATGATGAGGATGTCGTCGATATATCTGGCGAACAGGACTAAGTTGGATCCAAATGGGTTGTTTGACCAGATATGGCTCTCTTCCCAATACCCCATGAGCATGTTAGCATATGAAGGAGCAAAACTCGCACCCATGGCAGTACCCTTGAGTTGGATAAAGTGGGTGTCTAGGAATGAAAAGTAATTGTGTGTCAGCACAAACTCTATAGCCTCTAGAATGAAATTGGCTTGGGAAGAATTAAAATTCCCAGACTTGGCCATGAAGTGCTGGACTGCTCTGAGGCCGAACTGGTGTTCGATGAAGGTGTAGAGGGAAGCTACATCCAAGGATGCCCATAGGTAACCTTCTTTCTACTGGTACTG